TTCATTATAAATAAATTTTTAAATATTTTTCCTCTGTAATGTTAAATAATTTCTTTGAAGCTTTTTCCTTTTAAGTTCTTTGAATCTTCTTCCTATTTATTTTTAAATTATTTTATTGGATATATTTTATTTATTTAATTTAAAAAGAAAGATATATTCCTTTTTTAAATGAAACAAACGTTATCAAAATTAACTATATTTTATATAATTAATTAAAAAATGATTGTTACTATAACAAACGTCATAAAATGTTAGTACTTTCTTTGAACGTAAATAACTACCGAATCCAACATTTAATGTTGGACAATTCTTTCTTATAATGACAGTTTTTATAATTTTTGTTTTATAAATATTGGTGAAGACTTTTATTTATTTATTTTAAATTATCATTGCATTTAAAATTTTGACCGCTATCTGGTTGTCCATCAATTAAAATAAATATATTCATTTAGACCATTATTTATTAATCTATTTTTCTCAAATATAATACATACCAATTTAAAAATGCATTATTGTAAATGCTTCAAACATACAATCTCACTCCTCTTTTGCTAATAATTACAGATATGCATCGCCTCGTTACTAAACTTTGGAGGAAAGAAACATAGTGAATTTTAAATATTATTAGATATTTTTTAAAATAATATATATTTAAAAAACATTTGTAGAATTAGGTTGACTTAGTAAAATACTCTACAATAAATTATATATTATATTTACAAAATATTATTATTACAAGAAATATAATTAAATATATTCATTAAATATAATATATTCCTTATAAGATTTATAATTAAATATTTTATCTATCAGAGTTCAAATTTTCATTAAATGCTATATGCATTAATAGACTTTTACCAAATGTTAAATGCATGGATTTTTATATTTATAAAAACTATTAGAAAATTAATATTAGTGGAATATAAAATTGTTGTAAATTTATGCCAAAAATACGTTATTGAACTTCTTATCAACATTTTCAACTTAGAAAATAAATGCTTTATCAAACATGTTTTAAAACAATGAAATGTATATGAATAATGATATAATTTATATAGACTGATAAATATGTACAAGAATTTATCCCTCGGTTTTCACAGCTAATTATTACTTTAAAATAGGTATTATGAATTACTCTAAATTTAAATTTTCCTTTTTTTGATTGGTAATTTCAAATTTTCTTAATCATATTGTTATTTTGATTATTATTATCAAACAAAATTAATTCTCAAAGTCAAAAAAGTCAAATCCATATTAAATGTTACACTTTTTATATTGACTTCTTTTAAAAGGATTTGTCATTTGCTTACTTGTAAGGAGGGTGTTTAAATTGAACCAAATTAATTTTATATTTCGGATTGATTTTTTTTTCAATTACCAAAATTAAATCAAACTACACTTATAATATATTTATATTATTTTTCTATTATATTTAAATAAAAAGTTTTTTTTCTTAATCTTATTATAACAATGTATGAAGTATGATTCATTATGCATTATTTTTATCTAGTTTAAACTTTTGTTTCTCTTATTTAAGCAACTTTTTATTTCTTCTTTGCCATCAAATCTATTATTTTTTCACAGTTTTATCATTTTAACTGGTTTTTTTTAAGGGAAAAACAAAGAAAATAAAAAAAATTACAATTTAAAATATAAGACTCATTTAACATTAGTTTCAAGAAGTAATATCAAGTCTGCAAGAAGTGAGACCTAATCTTTGAAACTACAATCAGAATAAGTTTCTAACTTAGCTAAAATATTTGTAGGTGTTTCTATAACACAGGGTATATCTAATGGTGATTTGTTAGTATTTTTTTAACTACTCTTATATATACCAAATGAGATTAGCATACTTGTGAAAAGGTAAAACAATTTCCATCACAAGATTTATGACCTTTGTCTCGTTAAAATAACATAATATATGTTTGATATTTATATTACAAGCCATTTTTAACATCTAAAACACAATTAACATGGGTATTGTCAGAAATGTCAATAAACCCGTAAGCTCATTTAAGTCAATTTTTATCCATATTTCTAACAAGAGCACCGAAATCAACTCTACTTATACTCTCCCAAGCACTCCTTTCAATATTAAGGGTGAATTCAAAATTCTGATAAACTTTCAAACAAACTCAATGCTTCAGGCAGGCCCGAGATTGCTAAGTTGTTCACATAAATGAAGTTTGTTGGTAGAGTTCATAACATTAAGAATAATTTTATAAATTGAGATTTTTTTCCAACACTGCAATCAGTATTCCTAGCCTTCTATATTCACCTTAATGTAACTAAAAATAAGAGAAGATTACTTTTATGTTGAGTAAAGCAAATATGAGATAATAAATCTAGTTTTTCATTAAGATTTTGAATAATTATCTTGTATTCAAGTTGAGTCATAATCTAGTTGTTGATGTCAAAGGAAGTTACAAATCCTTCTTTCTATAGACATACACGAACCTAAATTTCCTTAGCTGTTAGATAATTTCTAACACAGTGGAAAGTATCCTTAGTATAAGTCTTACATCTTAAGCAAATAGATGAAGACTTCAAGTTTCTATAATGTTTTAAGTAATTTGTGGGATGGAATCACAACAAATAAGTCAATCTAGGAATTTAATCTTTTTTGCATAAGGAAGATACCAAATCCACCTCTAACTAATGTGTTGGTATAGAGTTCTCCTACCAACGAGCCAGTCAAATCATGTTTAATTATATAACTACCCTTCAAACTGCTTGATCAAATAAACTTATCCTTAACATGACTATTAATTGATAAGTTAGATTAATAAATAATTGAAGTAATTGATATTAGTATCAAAGTGACAATTTGAGCAAAATTTTACGCATGTTAGCTTGTAGCTTTATATCTTGAATGTTAATATAAGAAGTGTGGTATACCACAAGGAAACTTGCGCATTACCAAATCAAAAAAAAGAAACAATCCCTCATAATATTTTTATTCTTTTTAATTGCTTACTAAAAGTGAAACCTTTCATTTTTATTATGATCTAACACATTATATTCCTTCACGTATTTCTCTACAAGCAGTTACACCCAAAGTTTGTCTATTTTGTTTATTATATCCCAAAATTTTTCACTTAATAAAGTCACATCAGTTTCTCTAGTTGTTTTTAAACTAACCCCACCATCTTGAGTTATACAAGTGATTGTGTCATTAATTGAATGACAAACAAATTGAGGCAAATAATACAGTTATAAATAGTATGCTAGGATCACTGTAATAACTGACTTAGTCAGAGTTAAATGCTCCACTTTATTAAACAAAATAGACTTCCAATTAATAAGCCTATATTAATTTTTTTTTCCACAATGAAATCAAAGTGTATTTTTTTCACTTTACCTGAGATCATTAGAAAATCAAAATACTTATTAAGGGAAGAAGTAAAATGAATACATGAGATAGATGTAAACATGGCTCGTTTACGACCATTTATATTAGTTGAAGCATAAGCCTGAGATTTTATCAAGTTAACCTTCAAACCAAACACAATACTAAACTGGTCAACAAATTTACTTTATAATTTTGATTTAAGAGCTTGTAGTTTTGACAAATAAAACTATATCATCAATAAAAGTATAACATTAACTAGTTGCCACTGATTATTCCTCACAAAATCTTTTATAGCAAGAGCAACATCTTCACACAAAAGGCAAAGATATGGAGAGTCGATCACCTTGGTAGAGGTTGCGATTTAGAGAAAATGAAGAAAACTTATTCCTATTCCATTCTGGACGACCTATTCTCGCGTGAGATATCTGCAGTTCTACATCAACCCAAAAACCCACCAAACTAACACAACATGTATCAATTTTTTACTCAGCAACTATACAACTTATACATACACAAATGCAAGCCATCTCATACCATTATCAATATACAACAATGCATTTAAAATACAAAGATATCATAAATAATTACTTACAATATCAATTTAAAAAATAAATAAGCATATACATAAACAAATATGACAATTTCTACCTTGGTTCCTTAAAATTCATATGAAAACATCGATTGTATAGTACAACCAATATAAAGACACAAATTTAAAAAATCTCTTCGTTCTATTTTTTATGTCAATTATTTTAAGAACTGATATAAATATTATTTATTACATTGTTTCTAAAATTGATGTAATAAGTATATTTTATATTGATTATAACCAATGAAAAAATGTTTTCGTAAATTTCAAATATTTTACAGTCTTTTTTAGATTAATTCTTTCATAATTGATGTAAAATCTTATTGTAAAATGTTATTTTTGATCTAATAGAAATGCAAATCACAATTGTCAAATGAGAATGTTTGATATTTCATGTCATTATATTCAGGTCCGGTCAAACTTGACAGGTTTCTCCATCATTTTTGGCCTAACAGTGATTTAGGGTTTAGGGTTTAGGGTTTAGGGTTTAGGGTATTATGTACATGCATATTTATCATATAAAATATACAAAACTTAAATCAATATTCAATTTTATGACAAACATCATCATCATACTAATTATTTGTCTAACTTTATTTATTACTTTATACTTTCTAGAATATATTAATTAACATTTTCATATTTATCCTTGCGTAGATCACTTGATGAAGACAAAGGATTCATAGAAAGAGAGACAGAAACTTGTCATATCCCCGTATTATAGCTGAGTTTGTGTACCGACTTGATAGATTATTAAATGCGGTCATAGTTGGTTAGGAGATCAGTGACAACAAACTTGTGGATCAAGTCACCCATGGGCCCATATTATATCATTTTACATTATGGAAGTCCAATAACAAACAGGTAATTAACTGATATGCAGGTGTATTGTGTCTGATGTATATGTATATGGGTTTTTGTTAATCTCACTCTAAAAATTGAGTTTAAATTTTTATAAATAAAAAATTTTATTAAAAAATAATTATTATATTAAAGTTATAAAAATATAGTAAATATTTTTCAATAAAATTTTATTATTATTAACCATTTATTTTTATAAAACCCTATATATATTCTCACATAAAATATCACGATGAAAATATTTATTACACACTTCAATACTGTATATTACATCAAGATATTCTTATCATACACGATACACTTAATATGATATGACATTAATTAAAAGGATTACATGTATATTGCACACTAATTAAATAGCATTATTATTAGACGCTTATCACTCACTCAATGATATTCCCACATGTTGCCAACACCACCTACTACTTACGCACTTAATTAAATTGGAGTTGCCCAATCGACAACCATTAAGAGCACAGAATCATCTGGAGTGAAGAACGCAGGATCCGTTTCTTGGATGGTCCTCTGATCTGAGCCTGATTCCTTTGTTTCAAGCTGGATGGTGTCATTAGCAAGTTCTACATCAGGAAATATCATGTTATGATGATTTACCTGCACTGTGACTTTGAGAGTGGAGCTGCTCAATGGTACAACTACAATGGATCTCGACAATGGAATGAGTTCTCCACGGTTTACTGTGACACGGTCTCCTTTTTCTCTCTGGAACAAGATGCTTGTGGCATCAGCACCATTCCAACCAGCTAAACACGAAACCTTCCCATAAACTTCACTTGTGTTTTCCCCTCCTTGAAACTTGGATATGTTCACTTTGGCAGCTGCCGCATGTCTAGACACGCCATAATTGATGATCAAGCGACCCCCATCTATGTTGAATGCCTTGGATGTGGGTTTGTCATACACATTGCCAAATTTGAAGGAACTCCAGTACAAGCCTTGACGAAGGATGACTTCTTTGCCGTCGTTTCTGCCCTTTTCTTTGAGAAGAAACTGGATAGTAACCTCACCAAGGGCCGAGATGGCTTCTTCAGATGGTCCACTAAGCAAAACATCATTTGGGCCTGGATTGATGTACTCAGGATTGTCTTTTGAGCTGTTATAAATTATTTGGGTCCTTAGTGCATCAGTAACTGTGATTATACCATAGATCTCGCGTGCATATGTGTAATTGTTGTCAATACGTATCGAGAACACCTCGAGAAGCTCTGATCCAATTACAATACACTGCCCATCATCACCTCCATCTTCCACGGCCGCCCTGGGCTTGCGTGGCCGTGGTTGTGACTGCGGCGGTTTGAAGCAAAAATACTTGACAATGCCCAACAATGCAATGATAATTTGAATACCACGCCATTGATTTATTATCTCCAGTGCATTTTGGTATGTGGACTCTTTGTCGCCGCTTTTGTAGACATTCTTGCTGTTAGGCTGAGAGGGGCATGCATCCAAGAAAAACAATGTTTTTGATAAGTGACTCCAATCCTTAATCTCATCTTCAAGTTGTGTGAAGCGTGAATCACTTCCATTCATCCCCTGTCGAATCGTTCTTCCTCGCTCGTAATTCTCTTCAGCGAATTGCCGTACGTGATTCAGCCTAAGTGCTTCAGAAGTCATCACAATCATAGCCATTAAACTGCTTGCCCTATTATGATTGTCTTCAGATGTAGCGAGTTGAGTTACGGCATTTCTTAGGCTTTCAGAGCCAACGGTGATGTCTTGAACACCCATGTGTGGTTGACCCCTTTCAACAGCAGCTGCTCCCAATCCCCCGTAGCTGCCATCAAAGGGTAACCATTCTGCATCTGTAATTAAGTGCTCATGACTTTCGTTGTCTAGCTCTAACCATTGTCCATTTTCCATCTGGTAACCAATTAGGTAGAGGTTGTCCCTTCTAAATCGGAGTCTGACAGTGTGATGATTCCCATCTTGACCATTTGCCCCTAATTCCAAATCGAAGAGTCGAATCTCGCTCCGATTAGTTTGTTCAGGGATAAGCGCAGGAAGACCATGAGTATAGTGAGGAGTAGAAGTAGGATCAGGAGGGTTTGGGACTACTCGCTGGCGCACTCTAGAGATAAATTGGTGGTACTGGTTGTTGTTTCTAGGTTGAACTTCAAATATTGGCTCAGTGAAATCTGGCTCCCTTGGTCTGCTAGAACCTGGCTTTTGTTTGCTGGGACCTGGCTTTTGTTTGCTGGGACCTCCACTCATTGTAATGCAACTTCAACTCGGTAGATGACTCTCCCTGCAAATAGATATACGTATTAGTAAATTTAGTTTATTCAATTCTAAATAAAAACTTTGTGTGCATTGTATGTTTTTTTCTTTTTTCTTTTTTCTTTTTTCTTTTTTCTTCTTTTCTCTTTCTTTCTTTCTTTCTTTTGTTTTTTGTTTTTTGGCATAGAGGATGGGCATTTAGCACTTGCTGGCAGGCGAGTAGCTGATTTAATTGTATCCCCAAATACTCCTTCAGAGGAACAGCTAGTCGACAACATTAGCTTGAATGAAAACGCTCGAAATTCATGCAAAAATAGAGCAAACAAACATCAAATCCGATTCTCTTCCAACGTTTTTAGTAATACATTAATACTTTAAAGGTATTGCCTAAAATGTATACACACAGCACTTTTTTTTTAAAGTATTATCCTTAATCTCAAATAAATGTTGTCTTCAATCCATAAATGTTAATTTACCAACAAAAAAAAAACAAAAAAGAACTGAGAGTACTACCTTGGAGAAAAAGTGTTAATTTTTATTAGAGGTGATATTCAGATTATACTATTCAAATATTGTCATATGTAAAAACTGTGCTCACTACGAACATCTTTTATGTAAAGAAATACTTGATTTTAGCAACAAATGAAAAATGTTGCACAAAAAATAAAATAAAATGCTAAACTGCAGCAGTTTGACAACGAAGGTGGTAAGAAACCGCCTCAAATTAGAGAAAATTGAGCAATTTTTCATTTGGTAGATAGAAGAGGATAATATTTTGTGAAACATCTAAGGGAATATCAAGAAACATAATTTTTCTAATAAAAAATTAATAATAAACTCAAAGTCATCCACTTTCCACTCAAAATAACTCTTTCCTTCATGAAAAATAGTTTTTTTTTTCGTCTTTTATTATATGTCTATTTCAAAAATTTGATTCCACTACAAATAATTATTCATTTAAATATTTTAGACTGTATTAAATATTTTTTTCCCAATGACATACCCCTATGAATTGAAAAATGGAGGAAAGAGAATTAGAGAAAAAAAAAAAAAAGAGTAACTGAGATGAGAGATAAATAAGTAAGGGTGTATTTCGCAAAAGAAAAGAAAAAAAAAGCAGCAAAGTTGGGGGAAGTTTTATTTTTCGCATGTATATTTAGATGAAAAAAAATGGAGAAGAAAATAAAATGATAATTAATTTCTTTCATTTGTTTGTGTAGAAAAGTGAGAAAAAGATATTGATATTGAATAATAATTTTAACCTTATATTATTTTAAGATGTTATTTCAACCAAAACCTTGGAAAAAGACACCTTATGTCAACCAAAGAGGCAGTTCCCACCTTCAACATCTCTCTCCATCTTTTCCAACCAAATAGCAAAAATTATTTTTCATCCTCCCATTTTGGTTTCTATCACTTTTTTTCCTTTCTAATTTCCTCCAAAAAAAACTTAAAGGATTGTTTTGTAAATTACACTAGAGTTTTTTCAACGTTAATATTTTCCAACAACTTTCTTAATCTTTCTAAGCATTTAGAATTTAACAATTATTCCAGAACGGAGGAATGTTGGGAAAATATTTTTTTTTTACTAGAACTGAAGTTAGGTTACAGGCATCCAAAATCATTAATGATACACAAACTCTCAAACCACCTCAGCAATGATACGAAATTAAATAATCTAGAAACTCTAGACCTGAGCAATTCACGAAGGATCAAGGCTAAAACTCTACATCCGAACTATTTAATGAAGGATCAACGTTAAAACCCTAGACCAGAGTTCAGAGTCACAACGGGGTGCACAATGGACGAGTTGGATCGGATTAGACCAAGGTTGAACCCAGCCCAATTTTTAAGCTGGGCTATTTCTTAAAGCCCGAACCGATCCCACGATGACCCACCGATTAAACAACATATAAAGATTTTGAGATTTATGCATAGTAAAGCTATAAAATTTTACAAGAAACAAAGTTCGTGAGATATCTAACTATATTACTGTAAAAATAGCACCAAATTATCTAAAATATAATAATTTAACTATAAAATATAATTATTAATCACCAATTATTATAAAAAAATTAAAAAGAAATTTTTATTTCAATTTGAGCCAGACCAACTTAAAGTATGACACGGACCCGACCCAAACAATACAGTAGATCCCATTGAAGGATCCAAACCCAACCAAATAAGCTTAAAGTTGTACGCTCCTGATTAGAATTGAACCACGAGAATGGAAACAAGTGATGGAGATGGCCGACGCAGCTGGACGACGATGGCAACGATGTTAGCAAAGGCAAAAATGAACCATGAACCGATGATGAGTGTATTTTAAAATGAAATACTCTATGGCAGTTAACGTAACCACCAGAAGCTATATTCTCCACAAAACAGATCTTTTTTCTGAAGTGAGACGAAGAATTACAAAAAATAAAATAAAAACCAAGAAAACTCATGTTCACATAAAGAAGAGCCTCAGATCCAAGTGTTATGGAAATTCCAGAGTCGTTTAAATGAAAATGAAAGTGCTGCAGTTCCAATACAAGTGTGATTCATTCTAGACAATAACTCAACAAATATGTCGCCTAAATATCAATTGTTAATTAAGAAGCTACGAAAAATGAGAAATGCAAAACATGGAAAACAAATTAAACCTGAGCAGAAATAGAGATTACTTGTGGAAAACTCCTGATTGCTCCTCTGGTTTGGCTCTTCTCTGCAGAAACCGCTGTTTTGGTATATTCCTCTGCTCTGGTTTGTGTAATGTTAAGGTGTACCTATGTATACTAGAGGAAATGGTTGGCCGTGGACCCCTTCTCGAACCCAATGCTGACAAAATAAAATATATTTTCTTTATTTAAGATTTGCATAAATTTAGAGGTAATAGATTAAATTTTAAAATCCAATGTGTCATTGTCAGTTAAACAAATTTTATATACTACTAATAATAATATTGGAGAAGAAAAAGACAAAAAATTGTGTATGCATGTCACGTGAGATATGTAACAAGTAGAATTGGACTACTAGGTCCAATTAATAAATATTACTATAAATAGGTGTGTTAAAATGTATTTAGGAGCCATGTGAATACTGAATACCATATTTTCATTCAACGTCCAGCCACTAAGTATACTATGCATGTTATACACAAATGCATAAATATATAAATATGATACTATTATATGTTACACTAAACATTTGACAAAAATAAAACTCATAATATTAACTAATACTAGCATGCTTTAAGTCATACATTAAAAGACCTTATGTCTTTTTATTCTATAATTGATAAATGTTTGCTCCTCAAATCGAGAAAACAAAAAGTACATAAGATATAGAAATAATATATCGAAAGACTATAATACCTGGGAGACCAAAATTAACTTTAAATACATCAAACCACAATATATTTTCTATAAAGCATATATACAAAATTTATATCATTAGTTTCAGGTCGTCAACATCGTTCCAATCCATATCGACCTTAAGTCTGAAGACAACTTGCCAAAATTATTTGGAATAAAAAAACCTTTCATGATGGTGGCCAAATAAATAATTGATGCACGCAAGAAAAACTTCACGGTATTCAACTGACTTTTGAATGCCCCAAGGTTAAATATAGTTTAATTGGGACAGATATATATTTTAATGCACGAAATTGTCATAGGTCCGCCAACTTAAATTGACATTAGTTGTTCATTCACATGTTGTCTAGAATATCGCATACATCAAGGAACCGAAAAAGGCCAGTTCTCCTCTACACCCAAACACTGTTAGCCTTCATTCGCATGTTGTCGAGAACATATAAATATGGTATGCATTTGTACAAGTTTCTATGACCAAAGTACAAGAGAGATGCTCAAGTTTACATCTTTGGCTTAGCATGAAATCTTAAGATGTTCACGTTAGTCTTAATTGATAATTTTTTAAAATAGTTTTGCACTAATTAATCCTTTTTCTTTTTGTTGAGTTCAATGTATAATCACATGCATAACATAAATCTTTTAAGTTAACTAAAAAAATGCACTCACTCAAGATAATTGAATAAAAAATTAATTATTAAGATAAAATTTATTATCAATTATATAATACATTTTTTATTCAACATTTTCTTAATTAAAAAAATCTAAATTTATACTTTCTTATAAACACTTAAATTTATATTTAAAGAGTTAGGAAGGGATAACAAAAGCAAAAACTATGTGGATTGGTTGGGAACAAAATACAGAGATGTCTTTCCTCTTATATTTACATTTTTTGTTCACAACGATTGTTATAAACAAGATCAATTGTAAATTTTTTTTATTGGACAATATTTTTTTAAAATACAAAATCGATCGTTATATACAATAAAAATTATTTTTTTCACTCAATAATAATAATAAAACAGGTAATTCATCAAAAAATATGAAAATAAATAAATATAATATATTTATATTATATTTAAAAATATTATAATATAAAATAGTTAAATTATATATATATATCGCTTAGACAAAAAGTTTTTTTTAGTATTCACGTTAACAAAAAAAAAAGAGTATTCTTTGAATCTTTATCGCTCAGGTAAAAATACTACTGTTCAAGTAATACTTTGCAAAATTAGTTTTCAAAAACAGAGAGGCTTTTAAAATATCCTTAACCCCTTTTCTTCGGTGTGTAAGCATCTGTGAGTATTTTTGCTTTAATCTCTATTCAATTCACTCATAAATCACTTCTCTCTTCCATTCTCACTCTTAATGTTTTCGCCTAAATTAATCCTATTTTTTTCATGTTAATTTAATGTTAAATAAATTTAAACAACAAAGTTTTTATAATTTTTTATATTTATTTTCATTATTTTTTGTTATTATTTTATTATTTTATATTTTACATATAAATACTATTTTAGTTTCTAATATAAATATAATTTTATAGAATATATATATATACATTCCAATGACTAAGCCATCACAAAACTAAATAAAAAAATAAAATTTTTTATTACTTTCTCTCATTCTATGTAGACTAAGTCATTACAAAATAAAATAAAATAATTTTTTTTTTCTTTCTCTCACACTAGTGACGGTTCCACAGTTAAAGAATTAAGAGAAATAATTGTTGTCATCTAAAATTTTGTATTTTTTTCATCTAAAATTTTGTATTTTTTTCTACTAAATTATCTGTGAGACCCTTCTCAGTGAGAATTGGCGCATTAAAATGGCAGTCCCTTCGGTCTTAATGATGAATTTAAACAAAAATCACTAAAACTAAATTTTAAATATTAATTAATTATTTAAGAATAATTATTTTAAACACTAATTGTTAAATTAATTTAATTTTTTTATAAGTATATAAATATATAGTTTAATTAAATGACAATTTTTACCAATCTTTAATGACGGCTTTATCAATATTTGATGATGATTTCACCAACCTTTATTAATGGTCTTACTGATCCCTTTTCTAGATTACTCACAAAGAATATAAAAGAAAAGATCTTATGTTTTGACTCCCTTCTCTTCTCTAGATTACTCACAAAGAATATAAAATAAAAAGATCTTCTGTTTTGACACCACTTCAAAAGGTTTAACTGTGTATTTGTTAAAAAATGCATTCAAAGTAATATTGATCTTGAATAATAATAATAATAATAATAACAATAAGATAATTAAATTTATTAATTTAAATGGTATTTTATTGTTTCTTTTGTTATTTAGTATTATTTATTATTGGAAGATTTATTTTTATCTTTTATGAATATATATATTTAAAAGATTAGTTTGTATATGGCATACTAAATTTTTCTACATAAATAGTTGTTGATTTTTGCATGATTGATATATTGACAAATGAAGAAACATCAAATTTGTATATTTTTTTCCTCACCATATTTGTATTAGTAAAAGTGTGTGTATGTATTTTATAATTTTGGTGAGATTTGTCTGAAACTGTACTATAATATCAATTTATATTTTAGTTGTACAGTTCTTTTATTTTCTTATCAATTTCATTTTTTTTTATCATGGAGAATGTTGATTTTTGTGTGAATGCTAATTCTACTTCTTTCTACATGATAGAAGCATATGAACATTTTGGATACTTGTAATTTAATGACGATGTCATATAAATATTTTTTGTTATTATTGATTATATATATATATATATATATATATATATATTATAATGATGATGTCATATAAAGATTTTTTGTTATTATTGATTATATATATTATAAACTACTAGCCTTTGTTTACCCATAATTTATTTCCTATGTACAAAATCATTTATGCCATGAAATCAGTTTTTCTTAATATTCATATTTTTAGTCTTATTTCTAAAAAATAAATAATTTATTAAAATTATTAAAATATTAAATAATTTTGAATTCATCTAGAATTTTACGTTAAATAATAACACTAAGCTATTATTTTATGCAGGTGCTAAGTTATCAAACGTTATAAATTTATAAAACTATTTTATTCATGTATTATTTTTCTTAACGATGCATTTAAATAAAAAAAACACTAAAACTAAATTTTAAATATTAATTAATAATAGTTATTTTAAACACTAATTGTTAAATTAATTTAATTTTTTTATAAATATATTGTTTAATTAAATGATAATTTTTACCGATCAGCGATGGCTTTACAAATATTTGACAACGGTTTTACCAACTTTTATCGACGATTTTATCGATCCCTTTTCTAAATTATTCATATAAAATATAAAAGAAAAAAGATCTTATGTTTTTACACCGTTCGAAAGATTTAACTATGCATTTATGAAACATTTAAAGTTGTTAGAAAATATTGATCTTGAATAATAATAATGATAATAATAATAATAATAATACTAATAAGTTAATTAAATTCGTTAAGTTAAATGATATTTTATTATTTCTTTTGTTATTTAATATTATTTATTATTTGAAGATTTGTTTTTATCTTCTATGAATACATATTTAAAAGATTAGTTTATATATGACATACTAAATTCTTCTGCATAAATGGTAGTTGGTTTTAGCATGATTGATACATTGACAATTGAAGAAATATCAAATTCGTGTACTTTTTTTTCTCTCCATATGCATGTTAGTAAAAGTGTGTGTATCTATTCTAAAATTTTGGTGTGATGTGTTTGAAACTCTACTATAATATCAATTTATATTTTAGTTGTGTATCTATTTTATAATTTTAACGTTACCTGTCTAAAACTATATTATAATATCAATTTATATTTTAGTTGTACAGTTCTTTTATTTTCTTTTAAATTCTATTTTTTTTATCAACCTCCATTGGTTTATACCAACTTCCGTTGGTATATATAATTTTAATTATTAGGCTTTTGTCATGTTAATATATTATTTTAGCTAGCATAAGCATTGAACAGTCACAAAGATCAGAAGGGTTCTATCAGGATAATTCAGTTTTGCAGTAAGAACCGACAGCACAGGGTTGCGAGTCCTGACCTTTGTCCAGCTCAATCACATCCAACTATCCCCAAGACTAACCTGGAGTTTCTCCTAGATTTCATATACTTCCCATCCAACACCATCATCATTACATGCTTATGATGCATGAACCTAATTTCAGTCTTTTAATTAGGTATTAAACATTTTTTTTAATCAATAACATATGTTTCAAAATTCTACAGACAATCCGGCAGAGTTTCCTCTATAATTCAAATATTTCTAAATTTTCTTCTTTTTGCAAAACAGCCAGAAAATTCTAATACACTTCTAATTTAAGCAGAGACTCACCACCACTACATT